CATGAGGGGTGCACCCACCCACTGAGACAGTGGGGCTGATTTTTTGGGAGCTCACTAAGGCCAGCTGGACTGTGACTGAAAAAGCATGGGATAAAACCAGACTCTCTGAACATGGCGAACAATGAGGGCTGATGAGAAGCCAAGGACAATGGCACGGGGTTTTGATCCTACTTCATGTTCTGGCTTTGTGGGAGCCTAGCCAGTTTGGATGTTCACCTTCCTAGACATGGACGGAGGGGGGAGGACCTTGGACTTTCCACAGGGCAGGGAACCCTGACTGCTCTTTGGACTGGAGAGGGAGGGGGAGAGGAGTGGGAGGAGGGGGAGAGCGGCGGGTGGAGGGAGAGGGAAATGGGAGGCTGGGAGGAGGTGGAAACTTTTTTTTTTCTCAATAAAAAATTAAAAAACAAAACAAAACGTGAGTGCCGAGGCATTTCTCTGTTGCTTAGCACGTTGTTGGCCTTTCTAGGTTGGCAGGACGCTATTGTTTTGCCCTAAAGAGATGAGGGAGAGGCATGGAGGCTGTGAATGCAACCAGAAAGTAGTCACTAATACTTGTGCCACTGTTGAATCCATAGGCGTGTCTTGTGGTCCCATTGTTATTTGCAGTTCAGAGAACAAGTAAGACTGTTGGTGACTTTCCCCCTGGCAGTCTGCACAGCATCCTGGTACCTAGCAATTAGCATTAGAGGTAGAAAGCTTCCTGGTCAGTACTGACTTGCTTTCTCCATGTCCTGTGACCATTGAGTGTAGTTTTCACAGGTCTTCAACAGCTGGCCTGACCATCAAGTTCTGTCAGGCAACCAAGAACAATGATAGTAGTCTATATTGTTTTGGGTGTTTCCGGAACATCTCCAACCACAAATTTGAGAGGTGTCCTACACCTTAGCACTGGGCTTTTTATTTCACATCCTGTATCTCCAAGGTAAGCATATGATCCCCAGAGTAGGGTAATTCCACAATTAAATAAACTTTAATATGGGAGGTTTAGAATATTGCTTGCATATGCTTTTTGGAGCACCCTTTGGGTTAGACTCCTCTGCCCTATCCTCTTATGCTTGTATATTTGGATGGATTGCCATGTTTAAATAATACTAGCCAGTCATTGGTGAAGGTCTTTAGTTGGTTTGTTTGATGTTTTCTCCTTTGACACTCAAAGTTCTGTGCTTTGGTAGACATATCACTTAGGGGACATTATGTCCTCACTATCACGCTGGAGGCTCATAGCATCACTCCTGATAAGGCCGACTTTGATAACCGGATATGGCCACCACCCCCCTTATTTAAAGGTTTTTCGAGGCAGGGTCTCTGTGTAGTTCTGGCTGTCTTGAGACTCAAACTGTAGACCAGGCTGGCCTCAAACCTGCAGAGATCTGCCTGCCTCTGCTTCCTAAGTACTGGGATTAAAGGTGTGCATCACCACCAGCTCTTTTTAAAGTCATTTATTCCACCATTCCCCCACAAAAAAGTTCATGGAATTATCTTTCTTAGACTTTTACTATTCTATTATTTATAAGTGTATTTTTTCTAGTTTTATTTATTTAAAAACATTGTTTATTTGGGAGGGGAACTTACACATGCACAGGCTTGTATGGAGGCCAGAGGACAGTTTTAGGAGTGGTCGTCAGGCTTGGCAGCGGCAAATGCCATAACTCACTGAGCTGTCTTGCTGACCTGCTTCTGTTTCTTTTTCTACTAAACTTTATGGCTCATTGATTGATGCTCACCGTCCGACTCAATTATTCTTACCTTGTAATTTTAAAGTAAAATCTTTAAAAAAAAAATTAATTGATCTTCTCCTAAGAAGTGCTTCAGTTTTCCAAGTACTAGGATTACAGGTGTGACTCACAACACTAGCTTCTCAAATTAAAAAAATAGTTACAGTCAGTCTGCTGAGTCTTCATCCTCGCTTCCTCTGCGTCCTGGTGAAGCAGCCTGCTCCCAGGGTAAAGAACACGCCTGTTCTCTCTAATAGTAACTGCATGGCTTCACTGTTGATCCTTTAGACCCTGATTCATTTGGAGCTTATTCCTGTGTGTGGTTCGAGGTGGGATCTGGTTTTATTTATCTCCAAATGGCTGTGCAGTCTTTTTAACACCATTTCTTTTTTTTTTAAATATTTATTATTTATTATGTATACAATAGTCTATCTGTGTGTATGCAGAAGGCCAGAAGAGAGCACCAGACCTTATTACAGATGGTTGTGAGCCACCATGTGGTTGCTGGGAATTGAACTCAGGACCTTTGGAAGAGCAGGAAATGCTCTTAACCACTGAGCCATCTCTCCAGCCCTTAACACCATTTCTTTAAAAGTGCGTTTTAATCAGGTAATGTTCATGTCTCCTTGAGGCTGTTTTGACATGTGGGAAGTTCTTGGTCTGTCGTGTCTGTGTGCATCACACTTTCCGTTATGGAGGCTTTATGGTGGACTATACCACCTGGAAGAATATACCATCCTCCCTCTAGTACCTGAGTGTTTTGTTTTCAATATGAAATTCTCTTTCAGTCACCCACTTAAAAACTTGGTGTATTTGTAAAAGTTACAGTTATTTTATATATTTATGTAAGTGAACTGACATTTTATATTAGATTGTTCTGTCAGAAAATAAGAGCTCTTATTTGTTTAAGTCTTCTTTTGTGTCTTCTCTGGAATGTTTTAAAATTTTCCTCTAATGGATTTTACACATTTCTTATTATGAAACTTGCATTTTTTCCACTTACTATTCTGTCAAGCAGGTCAGTACATGTTGACCCATTTTATTTTGTAAAATGGATCCAGGGTAGTTTGCCATGCCCTAATTTAATTTAACTTTGCCTCTGTTGATGTATGCATGTTACTTTGAATTTTCCCACTTCCAAGCAGTTAGAATTGGAATTGCTTATTCATAAACCATCTGGATTTGGGGGGTAATAAGTGCTGCCAAGTTATCTGATGAAGTTGTGCAAACTTTAGTGCATATGTACATTGTTTTCAGATCTTCAAACTTACTTTTTAAGGAAAAACACCGCAAAATTACTCCTCTAAAAGTTGTGTGTGTTCATTAACCTGGGTAATACACAGTAGCAGGGGCTGGGGATACAGTTCAGTTATTCAGTGTATGGGAGACCCGAGGTTCAGTTGCCAGAGCACTGTGAATAATAAAGTAGCATAAGTCACAGCTTCTACCTTGAATAACTGGAACATAGTCTTGAAAACGACGTTTATGTACATGTGAAAGTTCTCATGGGAGGAAACCTTGAGTGGAGCCCAAAAGAAGGCATTGCTGGGTCTAGTGTCAACACCCTCAAACCCACACTCAAGGGGCAGGAGCGGGTGGATCTCTTGAGTTCGGAGCTAACTTGGACTGCACAGCAAGTTCCAGATCCAGGGCTATGTAGTGAGACCTTGTTTTATCCTCCCCTCCCACAGAAGCGTGCAGAAAGTTAGTTTGGTGTGCTTGTGACATAGGTTAAACTGACTTCATCTTGCCAGGGATAGAAACATCCTACACTAAAATGGTGTCTCTATGCAAAGATGACTTTGAGGTGAGGCCCAAAGAAACACTTGAGGTTTGGTTTCCTTGACATCAGAGAGTCTTCTGGCAAGGTGACAAATCACCCTCAAATTCAGAGGTTGGAGTTAACAGTAAACACTAATTTTCTCTAGCAGTGTGTTGGGGGGTGGAATGGGGTTGGTTGGGTTCGGGACTGGGATCTCTTCTGGTATTCAGTCAAAAATGTTAGGTTCCCGTCCTCCTGCTGGTTAGGCTGGAGGGTCCTCTTGCAGGGCGGTGCATTCCCTGGTGCTGGTGGCTTGTGGAGGCTTGAGTTTCTCCACCGAGAGGAGCATCCCCTGATGGAGAGATCCAGTGAAACAGGGCAGATGCTTCAGTGCCTTTTGATCTTCCTGTTGGAAGCCGTCCTCGGTCACTCTCTCCACGTTCTATTCCTTAGAAACAAGCTGTAAGTTCGGCCCACATCCAAGAGCAGGGGATCTAAGTTTCACATTTTCAAGAGGGAATGTCGAAGGATCTGGGAACAGATTGTGAAACCTACACACTGTCCTGTCTGTTCTAAAAAGGAGTGGTGCTAACGTTTGAAAAGGGAAAACACTCCTCCCCCTCCGCCACCCCCAGGGTGTCTAAGAAGAAGGAGCTGGTCGTAGTGGTGAAGGTTATCTGACCGAGAGAGACCTCCCCGGTGCAGGAAGAGAGGTTTAGCTGAGGTGGGGGAGTGGGGGAGAAGTAGGGTGAGTGGAAGAATGGCGGCCTCAGAATGATGAGCCAACCACAAGGAAGAGAGAGACCAAGCATGTCAGAATTGGGAAGGAAAGCAGGCTTTGAGGGAAAGGGGGAGCCGATTTGGTTGTGAACATTCAGGGGGAGATTCCTAAGGAGTTGAAATTGAACAGCCAAGATCCAGGTTGAAACCTCTCCCCAGAGAGGTGCCACCATGAGGGCCGGGACGGGGCAGGGGGTGCGCAGTTCGGTGCAGGGCTGCAGAAATGAGGCAGATGTGTAGCAAGAGGGTGAAGGAAGAGCAGCTGCCTTCCTGGCAGGAGGGAACTGGAGCCATCCAGAGCCCTCAGGTGTTGGGGTTTGAAGAGAGCTGTGTTTAGAAAGAAAGCATTTGCGGAACTGTGAAGGTGACGGCCGTTTAAGTGTGGTAGAACTTTGGAAATTGGATTATCACATCTACATAGATGCTCAACTTACTTTATTTATTTATTTATTTATTTATTTATTTATTTATTATGTATACAATATTCTGTGTGTATGTGTCCGCAGGCCAGAAGAGGGCACTAAATCTCATTACAGATGGTTGTGAGCCACCATGTGGTTGCTGGGAATTGACCTCATGACCTTTGGAAGAGCAGGCAATGCTCTTAACCACTGAGCCATCTCTCCAGCCCCCGATGCTCAACTTTTTAAATTGCTTGAGATTGGGAGAACAAGTGACTGGCATTCCGGAAGTTCCCTTTCTTTGATGTTGAAATCTTCTGTCTTCATGATTCTTTTTAGAACCACCATGGCTCCCAGGGATGGTGTCCTCTGCAGGCGGAGTTTTGTCTCACACACTTCTGGCAATCTTAACTGTAAGTGAAATCTGTTTCCCTTATTTTTTTTTCTCTTCCACAGCCGCCTTCTAACTGTCCTCCACTCTTGAAATGTGTTTTTATATGTGTGCATGCTCAAGTATGTGCACCACAGCACACATGTGGGGGTCAGAGAACAGCTTGTGGCCACTGGTTCTCTCCTCCGAAGTCAGGCAGGTCATTTTGTCAGGCTTTGTGAAGGACTCCCTTACCCTCTGAGCCATCTCGCCAGCCCTACTCCTCCTCCTCTCCCCTCCCTTCTGCTTATGGCTTTTTAAAATGCTTTTATAAGAGACTGTAATTTATTACCTTCCACATTAAGCATGATTCTCTTAAGTTTTTGTTAATTAAACCTGAATTTATACATAACAAATATGATTAAAATGACTGTCATGTAAATGGTAAATTGAGATCATACTTAATACTCACCTATGCATGTATGTCTACATAAAACATAATCAGTTTTCACATTAGGAAAATAGCTTGTAAGTCTTTATATATAACAGTATATTCTAAGGTTTCGATAAAGACTTGAGGTTAAATGCAATAAGGACTTCTTCAGATTAAACATCAAGGTTCCTCTGAATCGTGGCTGCATTTCCTCTACCATGTGGTATAGTGATTATTTTCCTGTTGTTTTTCTTGAATAAGATTTTAAGTCTACTAAATACTTAAGAGAACCTAAACCAAACTGGCAATAATTGCTGTGGTTCTAAAAGAGTTTTGCTTTGTTTGATAATGATGATGTTGTCGCTGTTGTTCTGAGATAGGATTTTATGTAGGTCAAGCTACCATGAACTCCCTGTAGCTGAGATTGGCCTTGTGGAACCCCATCCTCCCCATCTCCCATTTCCCCAGTGCTGGCTTTACAGGTATACACCATCCTTCCTAAAGAGCAGCATATACCTCATGCTGGGATAAAGGAACTATTGTTAAGTTTCTTTTAGCACAAAAATACCAGATTGGTTGTGGTCAGTATGATCTTTAAATCAGAAGGGCAGCCTTACATGAATAGAGTCTGGTCTTGCAGAATACATGGGAGGCCAGGAGTATGAGAAGAAACGGCGGAAATGGAGGATTGGGAAAACCCTACTCTGTGTAGCCCAGGAGATAAGTGACGGCAGGGGCATGGAAAAGGGTGTGGGCTGCAAACGTGCCCTGCCTCAAACTGCAGGTAGTCCTTAGTGCTCCCCAAATAGGCATCAAGCTGCTTCCATGTGTGCGCAGGTGTAAGAAGGAAGGCAGGAGGAGAGGAGTGTGTTCTTAGGAGATAGCTGCATTGTCATTCCCGTGTTAAAGATCTAAGTAGATTGGCAAACATCTTTGGCCAGTTTATTTGGGCAGTTGACAAAAACTCTAGGTAATTGACCCCCACCCCTTTTACTGTTTCCTTTCTCTTTTCCTGTTCTTACCCATCCTATTCTTACTGCTTTTTCTGTACATTCTTTCTTGGACATCAGCAGATCTAGAAAGTTCTTAGGTCATTTATCCCATTCCCAGTGTCTACACCCTCAGGAAATATTGCCACCCTCCAAGCTCCTCTGATTTCAGAATGTTTTGAAAACTACATTGTTGAGCTTCCAGGACATCTGTAATTAATATTCATTTACAAATTTGATGTCCAAACTGGTAGCTCTTTAGAAGAAAGGTTTAAGACAGACTTTCTTGAACAGCCCTACATTTAATATGTTAATGAACAAGAGCATGCATGCTTTTCTCTCCCTGTTTATGCCTCTAGAACAGTAGCGGCACGGGGGCTGGAGATCTGGGACTAGAGAGGGAAAGGATCTGGGGCTGACTGGAGTGGAGTGACAGAGCTGCTCATCTGAAGTGTTCTGAGGCGGGGGTGTCAGGGAACCAGAAACCACATGCAGTGCTGTGATGTATGCTGTGTCCTCGTGCCCAGCCTGGTCAGACATTTGTCCCATTCCCAATTAACTTGCTTGGGGGTGGTCTGTACATTCTGAGGTTTGTCTGGAGTCTTTAGAAAAATTACTGTTGATCATACTGGGGAGATGCAGGAAAAGTTTCCGGGGCTCTGTGTGGCACACTGTAGAGGTGGGGACTTCAGGGCTTGAGCTCGTGGCAGCAGGAGAGTAGTGAGGAATGAGCTTGGAGAGGGCGCTATGTAGAGTGCTGAGGATGGGTCTTCGTTCCCATGCTGGCTGCGGGGAATTGTGGGATGTTTCAAATTCAAAGGAATGATGTAGGTCGGCTAGAGGACTTGAAAAGATGGCGACTCCTTGGAACAGCCATTGTGGGGATTTAGAAAGAGCAGCAAGGGGCAGGAGAGGAAATGATTTTTTTCCCAGTAACCAGGGCATGGTATAGGTGAAGGTAGGGAATGGAAGGAGTTAGAAAATCCTGAGCTTTCTCTGAAAAAGTAGCCTCTTGCCTGGGAGTTAGAACTGCTTCATGATTGATCTCTTAAATCATTGCTGTTTTTCAAGACAGTTTAAGATTCTTTTGAATATTTAACTTTTTAAAAATTAACCATTGTGTGTTAAAATAGTGTTTTCTATCCTTAATTAAGTGCGCAGATGGCATCACATACCTCACTCCCATACATCTCCTGCAACTGAGATGTTCTGCACAGTAAACAGCTCTCCCTTAAGATGCGCCAGGTAGCGTCTATCCTGTGACGGACTCACTTCACTTCGCTTAGTGTGTTCAGAGTTCCATCTGTGTCTTAGCATGCATCATAGTTCACCTCAGTATTTCTTTGAGACAGATTTTCATTATGTGGCCTGCACTGACCCAGAACTTAAGCATCCTCCTGCCTCAGCTCTTCACCGCTGGGGTCACAGCTGTGCTTTTTAAGGTTGCCCTGTTGTCCAGCGAAAATATCCAGCTACTTTGATACTAAACAGTTTGATTCAGTCCTTAAGCCTTTCAGAACAAATAGGGGACTAGAGAGATGGTTCCACAGTTAAGAGCACTTGCTGCTCTAGCATAGGACCCAGGTTTGGTTCCCAGTACCTGCAGAGTGGCTCACAGTCAGTTCCAGGGTATCTGGGACCAGCTGTGATGACTATAGGCATGAGGCACACACGTGGAGCACATACATACATACATACATACAAGCAAGACACACATATAAAAGATGAGTCATAGAAAAGGTTAAAGTCAAAACAGTATCAGACCTTTGTTCCAGATTGGTTGTATATAACTAATTCATCTCACAGTCCAGTCTGTTGTATGAGGTTATTGTCCAGTTAGTTCTGATTTAGCTGTCAGAACATAGTTGATAGATTTGGAGGATAGATTTAAGAAGGAAACTACCTTTTTTAAAAAAACGATAAAATAACTAAGAGTTTCTATCAGTCATAGAAAAGAGACTCCCTCCAAAAAAAAAAAACCCACTGATTTTTAAGGCTCTCTGCAAACCAAATATTATTCAAGTAATCTGCATTTCAAGCCAAAAGCTATAATCTGAAAATTGCTATGTTGAAGGGTTGCTTTTTCCTTCTTTTTTTTTTTAAATATCTCTTTCTGAGTCTCTATATATTGTGCCAGTGAAAATCATTTCTCTTTGAAGATCTAAGACTGATGAGCATGAAATCCCAGGCTGTTGGAGTGGGCAGTCCTGAGAGCGTACCCGGAGCCATTCATTGAGCCATAGTCGCTCCACTCGGGGCCTCTGGGAGGAAGCTCGGCCTTTGGTGTAGTTCTCAGCCGGCTTTTTCTGTATGTCTCTGTTCAGTGTGTTGCTTTGGAACCTGAGAGAGACCTGCTGGTTGAGAGTTGTATCGTCATCCCGTGACCAGTTGTCAGAGAGAACCATGGTCTGAAGCTCATGTTGATTTTAGAGGTATTCTCGGAAGCCCTTTCTAGAAGGAGATAAAAGGCAGGAAGAGTACCAGCAGCTGGATTCAGTCTTGATACGGATGCTTTGGAAGATGATAAGTGGTTCTGTGGGACCATCCAAGGGGATGAGATTACAGCCTCCTGCACACGGGAAGACAGCTAACAGTCCGTGGAAAGGGATGCCAGATGTCTTCAGGTCTCCTCTAAGCTTCCTGGAGAAGAGATGAGTGTTTTCTGTCCATTCCGTTTCTTCTCTCCGATGGAGGTTGTAAGATCTCTAGTCTGTCAGTGGTTCATACAGTTCAGTTTCTAAGTGAGTAGCAGTCTCAGCCTCGGATTTAAGGTGGTTGTCTGATGGAGACGGAATAACTTTTATGACAGCTAGTTACCACCTTTCATAAAGGCTGTAACAACAACTAGTTAAGTTCAAGTCTCTGGAGGAAATGGTCTCATCTTGAAAACCATAGACGAAGAAGGGCATCTGACCAAAGCCAAGGGATATGGACTGTAGTTGCGTGTTCGCATGCTGCTGTTTTATCAAAGTGTAAAGGAATGCAGGGTGCACATGCCGTGGAAAAGGATATTTTTGTAGGATGCAACTTGTGTGACTCCGTGAGTCAGGTGAGTGGGTGATTCTGGGCATTCAGCAAGAAGTGAGAATCCATATTGAGTAGAACAGGAGCAAGCCCAAGAATACACCGGGCAAAGGGAAGATTCTGGAAGGAGGAGATTGGGTGGTTAGATGGTGGTGGGTCCAACAGCTGTGGAGAGAAGGCATTTAATTTGAAAGAACTATACCTGGCACCCAACAGGAAAAGAATTTCTCTTGAGACTTGCTCAGTCTGGGTCTGGTGGAGATGGACTGACCCCAGGGGCTTGCTAGCCAGAGGGGTTTGGAAGGGTTCCTTCTGTTAGGCCTAGCCTAATAATTGAATACTGTGAGGTAATTGTGCTTAAAACATCCAGACTGTTAGGTTTTTTTATTCCAAGATGCATGTTGGTGAGATTTTTGGTGTATTCAGACAAATGCTCAGTCTGTTACTTACTGCAGAGCACCAACTAGGTGTTTCTTACTAGCAGACACGAGAGCAGAAGATGTCTTTGTAGACTTCGTTTCCTGTGTATTTAATTAAGATGGGGTGACAATCCAAGTGTGAACCTTCCCTGGGGACTGGCAGGAAGGTGCTGTTTGA